AAGAAAAGTATTCAGTGGACCTACATTTGAGAGCTGTTGCAACTCTCCTGGTATGTAGAAATGATGCACCAAGAGAAGGGAGTGATCTTCCTCCTCCCTCCCCCTTTCTCCTGACTCAAAATTTCTATTCACTAGGAGAGCTCATGCAGCTCTCTCATGGTGGCCAGGTTAAGTACTTTTCTTTTTTAAAGGGCTTTTGGGGGTCTTTGGGGAAGGAAGTTGGTATTCTTACAGTTTTCCAGGCTAATTTAGCCCGGAAAGCTATAGGAATATTGTCTTGGCTGTAGTACAGACACCAGAAGTAATGGGTTTATCCCACATCTTCCAACAACGTGCTGAATAAATGCACTATCAAATTAATTTGCCACTAACCAGGGTTTTCCTGGTTTGTAGTGGATTAATTCGGGGTTTGTCCAGGATGTCATCTGGATAGGCCCCTTTTTATTGTGGAAACTCCCGCAATAAAGTGGCTGTCTGGATGCTCTCTTACTTACATTTTCAGTTTTCTGGTACTATGATGTTTGTGTATTCCCCTTGCTTATTGATTGATTGTATGGTGTATTACCTGGCATGCTGCACATTTTGCACTTGGAGCATATATTAGATGTCCTCGATTCAGGTTTGAATGAGAGTTTGCATGCAGTTGCACAACCTGTGGCCCTCAGATTCCTTGACCTTTCCAAGTGTGACCTGCAAAGCTGGGGAACTCTATTTACTGCCTTTTGCAATCCAGCTGAAAAACACACTACTTGGCACCATTAGGAGAGTCAAAACAGTGTTCTTATTGGGCATGGTTTTGAGATTGATGACACTAGATTGCTATTTTTTCTGCCCCTGGTCCTGACAGAGAATAAACTGGCCAACACACATTTTGATGTCTCAAATGTTCAACCTGCTTTTGTGTATATTTGACCTGCTGGTTCAAAAAAATGGCAACTTTTTTTTTCAATTAGCTCTCGTTTTTGAATCATAAAACACAGGAAACCTGCCAATTGCCATCTGACCACCCATAGAAAATCATGATACCCATACCTAAAAAAAAAACAAAAAAACCTAGAGCTGATGCAGTCTATCAAATGTAATTTTCTGAATTAACACCCAAATAACTCCAGGAACAGGCCAAAACACCAAGACACAAATGATTTATTTTTGTTAGAATATGATTGATCTCAATGTGATTTTTCTATAACCCACTAAACACTGAAATGTATATAGCAGTGGGATGTGCAAATTTGGTATTTCATTTCATTATGTTACAATTTAAGATGCTTTAGAATTGTTTTGTAACATATAGATTTTGTTAATGTGTGTGACCAAAGACGAAATGGTTTAAAAGATCTCGACTTAACTATCTATTCTTCCTCCCACTGCTGGAAACTTTCTGGCTTGATTGCCCCACCCTTAGTCAATGGAAAAGGGGGAATTGTGAGGGCCCCTGTGATTGAAGCCTGACTTGGTTGGAATAGTCTAAGGTTCAATTATCCCCATCCAGGGACAGATTGAGATCTATTTAGGGCTGCTCATCCCTTGTTGCTTTCTTGCAAATGATGCATGAGTCGCTGTCCCACCTTCCCATCCTAAGGACAGTGTGAGTGTCAACTGGCTATGTTTAGAGCAGGTTAGGAATTCCCCCCACCCCCATGAGGTTTCAGAAATATCTGCTACCTTAACAGAGTACTATAAGCTTTCCAAGCAGACAGCAACTAGAGTCCAAGCTCCCTTCCATGTAGTTGTGGCAGGAACACAAGACCCAGACTCCAGATGCTTGTTCTATACACAGGAAGGCTTTATATCTTCAGTTGCAATATGTACAAAGTATTTACAGCAACACACAGTTTTCGCCAAACCCCAACAACCATATCCAAACTCACCATACTCCAACCAAACTCTCCACACCAGTACATGGAGGCTACATTTTATACTCTTCTTCATTGCATCAGTCAGTGAGCACATGATCCAAGTGACTCAGCATATTACCATGTGGCTAGGTCTCTGTTATTCTGCCACTTGCCATTCAAGATACCAGAGTATAAAAAACTCTGGCACACCTTTTATCTTCGGTGGCAAGTGACTACACACACACATTTTCACAAATACATTACAATATAGTCCACACATGTTCAGTTACATCACTGTTGAAAAATATTTCCATTTTCCCTTCATGAAAATCATAACACAATGCAGATTTGATTTCATACACTTAAACATTACATTTCATAATCCATCACCACTTTGCTGTATTCCATTCACGTTTGTGTTAAACACATTAATTCCTTTTCTGTTCCAAATTGAACTACTTTCAAGACAGTTTCAGAAATGCCATGGCAATTAACATTCTTCTGTTATCTGACTTTTAGCTCAGCAGCTGCTTTACTCCCCTTCTTGGACTTTTTAACTATTTCCTTGCCAGTTGTCTTACAGTACACTTTACAACACATTTGACTTTTAAACATAACAATTTTTCCATATTTCTTTTGCCCAAAATTTGTCAGATTTAAGTTCTCACACTTTGAATCACAAATCTTTCAGGAAGTTTGCCTTTTTTCACTCTCTTAGTCTTTCTGGGGATTTCAATAAATTCAATAACTTAAAGGTCCTCATCACTAATTGAATGTCCCCTTTTTACACCTGCACTGGTGCTTTGCATTTGATCCTCCTCTGCCTGCCTCTGGTCAGCCACATGTTCCTGAATTTCGCTGAAACTTTCCACATGCACTTTGCTGCTAGGTACTGGTTCCTGGCTCTTTGGAACATCAGGTTCTAAGAAAGGATTGCTCAAAGACACATCAGTTTCCACTAGCAGGACAACTGTTCTAATGGTCATGCTTCCATTCTGTAGGTTTAAACTTGACAATCCTGCAAATCACCACATTTCCTTTTCCATGATAAAATCTATAACTTTTTGACTTCAAATCACAATCCAGACATCTTAGTTTTTGCTGTTTGTGTTGCCCTCTTTTCTTTGCTGTTTGGGCACCATAACATTAGCAATGGTTCCAGACACTAAGGTATTTCAATGTTGGCTTTCCTTTGATCAATCGGAAAAAATGGAGTCCCATTTACATTTGCATTCCACCTTCTGTTTAACAAAAATGCTGTTGATGCAGCAGCTTTGGCCCACAAACTTTCAGATACTAGTGCATCGAGCATCATGCACTGTTTGATATTATTTATCACATTAATCTTTGTCTCTGCCACCCCAACAGGAGAGTTTAGACTGATGCTTTATTCCTTTATCTTTTAGCCAACTTTCAAACTGAGCACACATAAACTCTCCTTAACATTCAGTTTTTTAAACAATGAATTCTGTGTGTGAATTTTCTCTCAATCATTGTAACTCACTGTTTGTACTGAAACATGGACTTCAGATTTAAACTTTAAGCAGCAGAAAAATTGGGTGCAATCATCCACCAATCCTACCATACATTTTGAATCTCCTTCACAGGGCTCAAATGAGCTTGCACATGCTGCATGCACTATTTCAAAAGGCCTCTATGAGGTGTAGTAACTTTCCTTTATTATAGGACACTCACTCACTTTTGACTTAGAACAAACTGAGCAATTAAGGTACTTTCCACATGGCTTTAGCTCCGCATCAGCTACCTTTGCCAATTTCTGCAGCTCGCAAAAATTTACATGGCTCATTACTTGGTGGAGATAATGAACCCAATCATTATGTAAGGGTTTGTTAGCAGTACATGACAAACCCCCTTTTTTTCTTCTTTTTTTTTTTTTTTTTTTTTTTTTTGCTAATTTGTCAGACATGATATATAACTCATAGCATAATTCCCCTGATGCACTTTGCTGTCCATTTTAAGCACTTTGCACCCTTGGTCATTTAAAGTTACTTCATAACCCTGAAAACAAAGACTAGAAGCAGTTAACAATGAACATTGTAATTTTAGTACAAATAACACATTGCTTAAATTTCGACCAAGGCTTGGAAAACAACAGTTCCTGGCCAGCATTCCATCTGCAAGAATCAAGAAGTGCTTGGGTTTTGTTTGTGTTTTTGTTTTTTGTTTTTTGCCTACTTCATACTGTTTTGGTTGGCTGTAGTAATTAGCTTAGGATGGTGTCACTTAAATATGTGGTCATGGCATGTTTAAAAAATCAAATGGGCATCATGGCACCACCTTTGTTAGTGGTGGCCTTCTATAACAGTCTCTCTGTTTTTTGGCTTAGAAGGCAGTGAAGCAAGCTCCCTTTGTAAAACTCTGTGGTCTGGGAGGGAGCACCCTCAGGATGGCCTTCCACTCAAGAGTGGTTGGGTGTGCAACCAAATAATTTGGATGGTGCTGGGGTTTTTTATGCTAGACCAAAGATGGTCCAGGGAAGTGGTCTATGGAGTGGCATCTGACCTGTGAAGTAGACCCATTAGATGGCTTACAAACCTAATTTTTTTTCCTTACAGATTTACAAAAGTTCTCATAAAAAGACATAATTAATAAGTAAATAAATATGTCAATAAATGCCCCTTTTATTTCATATCTTGCATCTGGCCTCTTTATTTTGTAGTGGGAATTAAATTCCTTGTACTGTACAGTATTTTCAAAACAATATGCACACTGTATTTGTTTTTGGGGCACTATTTCAATGTATCTCATGAAAAAATATTTAGATGAGGACAGGCAAATGGCTTTTGAATGTTATGACCGCCTGAGAAAAGCAACTGTATAAATCATCCATCTCAGTGTATTTTGACCCTGTCTCAAAAATACATAATTGAAAACAAGTAGCTCTTTTTGCTATCAACAATAACTTTGACATCCCTTTCCCACTGCTACTGTACTTACACTCTCTTTATTTAAAAACAGTACCAAGATACCACATCCTTCTATCCATCTTTGGTTTAACTATCCTGGTACAACCAACAGGACTCCAATCAATACTTTTTAAATGCAGTATAAAAAAACCTTTGAACAGAATGGTTTTCTTGGCACCTGACTGAGGTTTGTGATCTTATTAAATGTTTTCTCCTCCTTTTCCCCTTCTCGTAGGTTATCTGGAATGAATATCCCACCTCCAATTATCAGCAACAAAAACTGGCTAAGACTTCATTTTGTAACAGACAGCAACCACCGATATCGTGGATTTAGTGCTCCTTATCAAGGTATATTTAACAAAAACTGATTTTCCCTCCCAAAGTGAGAAAGGTATTCTATAAACTTAACTGTATACTTCGCACTGGAAAAAAAGAAAAGATTGGGACAGTAATTCTCCTCCAGTGGGAACAAGCTAGTTGTAAATTATGGTATGGACTATAGCATTTTCTTGTTGAAGGCAGTCTATGTTTGCATAATAGCAGCGTTACTAAATTGAATTTTTGTCAAGTACAATTCATTTCATTGCATGCAGTATTTTCTTCTTATTTACTTTTTTTACTGTCTTATTTACTGTGTCACTGTGGTTTAAAATGAATAAGCATCTTTTGAAAGAAAATGAAACTGTTGGAATCTTGTTTTTGAAACTAATACTGGCTGCACTCACTTGTGTGCTACACCAAAGAATTAATGAATCCATGTAGAAATATTTAGAGTAATTTTTCATTTCCAAACTCAATTTTTATGAATTTATTTTAATCTATATAATGAGTTGCTGAAGCATTGTTGAAGACAGGTGGTCGAACGTCTGCTATTCTCCTTTGCCCAGATATTGTTGTGGGTGAAGTTTTTTTACATCTCAATTTGATTGAGAACCAGGCTTTGCTCTTCTTCACTTTTCCATGCAGCAGGAAAAGGAAAGAAGAATGAAGCACATATAGTCACTGATTTGAAGGTTTGCTGGCTACATTCTGGGTTTAGGGTTTAGCCAGTACCTACAAATGTAAGACATAGAAAAGGCTTGTAGATTTGGCAGAGACAGAATCTTCTATCCTCCCATCCAGACAGAAAAAATTATAACAGTTTGAAATCACTAGAGTCTCCTTGAGGAGAGAAAAAACAGGGTGTAAATAAACGTAAATAAAATCATAATCGTAATAAAATGGTCCTTTCCATCCTATGGGATCTTGAGATTTGTCATTAATTGAGGAACCAGAGCTCTCTGGCAGAGAAAAGTTAAATATCTCAAACAACTACAAATCCCAAAATGCCATGGTATTGAGCCATGGCAGTTGATTTGGTGCCAAACTGATATAATTATACAGTATGGATACAGCCTGTGACAAGGTTGCCCAACTACAAAGGGTTTTTCTTTAATTCCCTATGCATATGAAGTAAGTTTCAGTGCACTAGACATCTTTCACTTTCGGCTAACAGATTATCCATTTTTCTCCTTATGTGGACAGAATGGGAATGAGGTTGCTATAAGTTTGGAGGAAGGAAAACATTGCATTTGTTGGTAATTTTGATTGCTTCAGGGGAGCTTTCAGATAACCCCTCCCCAAAAAAATGCTGCCCCCTTTTGAAATAAACTTTTTAAAATATCAAGGATTTTAAAAATTCAGCACAGTTAGGGGTTTTAAGGTCTACACTCTTCCCACTGCTGCTCCGTGGGCTCCCACCCTATAAGAGATAATCTTCACAAAACACCTAACTCTTCCAGATAGCATGATTTTATTTACCTTTGCACAAATATTCCTATAATGTAGCTGTATTTCAAGGATATTATCAGGGTTTTGTGGATATTATCAATATTTTTTGTAATTATTCGTATTTTGGATTTCATACTCTTGAAATAAGAGTCTCGCCGTCATTTATCCTCCAAATAAAATAAAAGTAGGAACTTTGCAGAGTACGTTGTAAATATTGTAATTTAAAACCAAGAAAATTCAAAAATGTACTTGGGAGCCTTTATGGGTGTTCATGTTTGTCCCTGGATAGCATACTAAGGTTAGAAATGAAAACATAAGTGTGTTTTATATTGTAGTGTATTTTCATAGCTGCACACATTGAACTTTTTAAACTTGTGACCCCTAAAGAATGAACTTTAGAACTGCAATCACCTAAATGCTTACTTAGGAGTCAGGCCCCTTCCACACAGCTGAATAAAAACCAACATTTTCTGTTTTGAACTGGAATATATGGCAGTGTGGACTTAGATAACCCAGTTCCAAGCAGATATTGTGGGATTTTCTGCCTTGATATCCTGGGTTATATGGTTGTGTGGAAGGGCCCTCAGTTGCATTGGATTTCCTGCCGACTACATAGATAGTTTGAGCATTAATAAATCTCAGAATATACATTTGGAATGTTACTGTTGAATATAATTTAAATAAATTTCTACACATTTGAAGAAAGCAAAGGAAAACACTGCCAAGAAAGTTTAATATCTATAGTGTTTTTGTTTGTTTATTTATTTTGTTTTTTATAGTAGAGAATACATTTGTAGGAAACTCAGTCTTTAAAAATACAAGTGTTTTGGGGGCATGATACATATTATGTTGCAGTACAGATTATTTCATGTATATAGTGAATGTTTTTCTTTCTCCTGTAAACAGCTAGATGGTACTTCAACTCATCTAAGTGTTGTAAATATTATTTCTTTCTTTTCTTTTACACAGCAAAAGTTTTCCATGAAACTATAACAGATTTATAAAATTATGTTTTTGCATATTGGAGATGGGACCCCTGTCTAAATACAAAATTCATGTATGTTTCATATTCACTTTAAACACATAATCTGCAGGTAATTTTATACACATTTTTAATATTTTTGAGGATGACACAACATCTGTAATATTGAACCATCAAGAGACAAAGGTGTTGCTATTACAATCACACTCTACATGGGGTTGCCTTTGAAGGGTGTTCAGAACCTTCAAATGGTCCCAACAGGCTGCAACCATATTGCTCACCAGAGTGGCGTATATGAAGCGTACAACTCCCTTGTTACATCAGCTCCACTGGTTGCCAGTCTGCTACCGAACACAATTTAGCCTATAAAGCTCTAAATAGTTCCGGCCCAGCTTACCTGTCCAAACGTATCTCTCCCTATGAACCATCTAGTAGTTTAAGATTGTCTGGTGGAAATGAGAGATAGGGCCTTCTCAGTGGTGGCCCCTCAGCTGTGGAACTCCTTCCCCAAGGATATTAGATCAGCTCCCTGCTTCCTCACTTTCCATAAGAAAGTGAAAATGTGGATTTTTGATTAAGCTTTTGGAAGTCTTGTACAATAGATGAATATGGAATTATGTTCAATTGAATATTGGAACAGCTCAGACTATGACTTTGGATAACAAGGCTAACAGTGAAGGTACTGTTTATATGTTTTTAAAACTGTCGCTCCATGCAGTCATGCTGGCCACATGACCTTGGAGGTGTCTACGGACAATGCTGGCTCTTCGGCTTAGAAATGGAGATGAGCACCACACCCCAGAGTCAGACACGACTGGACTTAATGTCAGGGGAAAACCTTTACCTTTACCTAAAACTGTCTTAATGTATATATTTTATAACTCTGTTTTTAAATGCTGTTTTTTGCTGCATATTGTTGAAGGCATCAAATGGCTGTATAGCCACCTTGAGTCACCTCCGGGTTGGAGAAAGGCGGGATAGAAATCTCCTAAATAAGTAAATCAATTATATATACAATTCTAAAGTCACAGGGAATTTAGGCTAAGTGATGTTCTACCTATATTAATTAGCTGAAGTGCCAATTGATTGATTAATGGCAGTCTAATTTTAACCAGTGAGGTTTAAAATTCAGGGATTACTATTGTTTTAGTGTTTACAATAAATAAAAAATATTTTTTCCATTTAATAGACAAATGTCATATTTTCTTATAGTCTAAGGGTAAAATTATACCATTAGATTAACAGATTAATTTGTGGATTAGCAATAAGTGGCTATTTATTTATTTATTTATTTATTTGCACGATTTATACCCTGCCTTTCTCAATCCCAAGGGGGACTCAAGGCAGCTTACGTACAATTAAAATAAACATTTAAATTGAAAATTAAAATTAATACATATTAAAACATTTAAACATTGCAATCACTATTAAAATCATGCCATCCACAATCATAATCTGAGGCTATTCCAAAATCCATTGCACATATTTCATATCTGCTGTAGCACTACAATTATTCTGTGAAGGCTTGATCCCAAAGTCACATTTCCACTTTCCTTCTTAAGGCCAAGAGGGAGGAGGCTGATCTAATGTCCCTGGGGAGGGAGTTCAACAGCCGAACAGCCGGGGGGGGGGGGGGGGGGGGGGGGGCATCACTGAAAAGGTTGTCTGTCATCCCCACCAGTCACACCTGTGAAGGAGGCAGGACTGAGAATAGGGCCTCCTCATACTATCATCATATCTGAGATGGTTCACAGAGGGAAATACATTTTTTAAAAATTAGCAGTTCATGGTCTATGCTACCCCTTACTTTGTAAAAAAATTAAATTAAAAGAAGAACATCTCCATATTCTACTTCTAATAATATAGTCTCTTTAGTTTCTGAATTGGCCATTCAATGATATACATGTGTACATACATACATACCATTCAATTGCCCAAACAATGTGTTTGCTATTAGCCTTACTAAAGTTTCCTTTCTTGATCCTAGCCCAGATTCCTCTACAATTTCTGATTCTGCTGTTTCCTACTTTTGTACTCCAGTTGACAGTGATGGTATTCTATTTCAATGTGTGAGCAATTTTCTCTTGGGTACTCGCATAGAATCTTTCAGTTTTATTCTTATTTGCCTCTGTGGTGGGAGCATAAATTTGGATCACAGTTATATTGATTAGTTTTGTCTGGAGTCTTATTTATATTATTCAGTCATTGCATTTTATTTCTTGTTTCATGAATTCCAGCATTTCCCAATTCATTCTTCTTGCATTCCATGCTTCAACTAAATATGGTCTGCGACTTTTCTTTCAGCACTTGGAATTTCAGCCCCTAAATGAATGCACTTTTTGGCTTGAAGCCAGTTGTGCCATTAGACACAGTGCTATTCATAGTTGTCCTCTGGATATTGCCAGGAGCTGGTTAGGTGCCTGCTTGCCTAGGAATTCTCATCTTCCAACACTATCTCTCGCTTTATTTGGGATTTATTTATCTATGTATTCCTTTCTGAATTGTTACTATATAGGTTTGAAAGGTACAAGATATTCTAATATGGTTTACTATTGTCTTCTCCTATTGTACAGTGTTCACAACAGATAGCAAACAT